GTGCTATAGAAATAAGCTGCATAGAATGGAAGCAGTGAGCCTGATGGAGCTGAAGTTGGATCAGCCTCCACAGCAGCAGATGAAGCGGGGCATTTGTTTACGACCGGGTGCATCAGGCCTGCTAAAGCTAGCCTCCTATCCGGACGGAGCTACATGAGTCAGGCATCTCCACGGAGCTCCGGCTCCTCCAGCACCTCCTACAGAAAGTCTAACTGCAGATGTTTAGAGGAGTGAGGCAGCCTCCCCTCCACGGCTGACCTGCGGGGGACAGGAGAGCCGCGGAGGGAGGGAGGGAGGCGTTAGCATCCTGTAGCTCCTCTCCGGTGCTTTAAACTCAGCTCTGCTCTGGAGCTGACAGGAGAGCCGCTTCCTTCCGCTCCTCACAGCCCATTTAACAACAACATCTGCGCACAGGAAGAGCCGCAAACTCGATGCTGCTACAAACCAAGCCCCGGATTAGCCCACCTGGATTAGCCCCCTTTACCTGCTCATCAAATCTGGTAATCACGGCCTGGACCCATTCCACTGGTTTGTGAGCCGCCATGGCCGGCCGCGGGGACACGCACAGCTCGGCTGGGAAGTCCGACGTTTGGAGAGGCGATGGACGGCCTTATTTCCTCATGAATGTCTGACCTGGATGGGCCAGAAAGGACAAAGCGGGCGAATATTTTCTCCTTTCTGCTGGCTTCACCATGCCACCGCCATGACAAGCCACCGGAAGTCTTGTTCGGTGGAGCTGAAGGAGGCGGAGGGTCAAGTTAGCAGAGAACAGATAACTAATGGCTTCCAGGCAAAGCCTTGACCCTTCTGTCCACACAACTATAAACACTCAACGGCTTCTTATTATTTTAAATAATTATAACATTGCTGCAGTCTAAGAGAAATATAAACCAACACCTTTTCATATAGGTTTCTTCTTATTTCGTTTCAATATGTTTCCTCGTGAAAGTGTGGCTGCAGAGACAAACCTTCTTCTGTTAAAACAAAAATAGATGATCAATTCTGGCGTTAAAATAGCTAAAAGAATCAAATACAACCATGGTTTATCTTATTGGTAGATTTATTTTATTTTGAAAGGGCCTCTGGTGCTCCACTTCCGCTGTCAGTGAATTAGATGGCTGCGTTCGGATCCGGCGGCTGCGTCCTCCGAAGGCAAGATTCGTCGGCCGATTGCGTCATAGCGCGGCGCCGTGGCGTTTTCGGATTCAAAAACTCTTCCATATGCGGCCGATAAATGCAGCCTTCTGATGCGTTCGAATTTAAGGCTGCGTCTTCTAAGGACGCGGTCTACCTAGACTGGATCCTTTCAGCTCCTTGAAAATAAGGAGACCGGAAGAGTTTTGGCTGTGAATTCAAACAGGTCCCGCCTTCTGCGGCTTTTACCGCCATCTGTCGCTTAGCAACCATTACAGTTGACACAGAAAGCAGGAAGAGACTGAATACTGAACTTTTCAAAAATGTTTCTTTGTATTTATTTATTATTGTAAAGTGGACAAAGACTACTCATGAGAATAAAAAGTAAGAATAAGAGCGAAAATGTCCATAGTTGTATAATTGTTATTTATTCTCGAGATGCACCGTTTTATATTGTTAGAACACTTTGCAGTACAGGATTTTATTGTTTATATTTTAACTCTTCACTATTATGTTATTTTCATACATTTTTCTAAGGTGCTCATTTTTTGTGAAAATGTTTTTCTAATTTTTTTCTGTTGTAAACACC